ATCAAAAGATTTCATGAAAACAAGTCCTAAGTCGTGCATCTCAGGTAATTTGCGTGGTCTCTTTGACACTTCAAAGAGAGCGTGCTGTTTGGATGAAATGTGCAAGTTTACTGGGACAGGCCAGATGGAGTCAGGAGTAAACCCATTTGGATCCACCCTGCAAAGCAGCTGTTCCTGCTCTGGTGTGCCGCAGGTGAAGCAGGAGACCTGTTACCATTTCACCACGCCGCCAGTGCCCATTGACACTTGCATCCATATCCACTGCCAACAACACGGAGCGACTTGGGAGTCCCTCTAACACAAAGGAGGTGGCAGGTGGATTTAAAGTCTGCCCACAGTGCTCTCACTGGGCGACTGGGTCCTTCGGTAGGATAAATCTGAGACAAGCTCAGCAATTTAGGCCTCCTCCTGCTTCCATGGATGCCTTTGGTGTTTTTCTTCCCCCAGTGTTCCTACGGCGGCAGAATCAAAGCCTTGAACAGCTAATCCTCCTGCCTGTATCCTGGGAGATTTGGGCAACGTTTGACAATGTTTCTCTCTCCATGTAATTTTGGTTATTACTGAGAGAATTTTAGCTTACCCTCAAATTATTTCAACTCCATTATAGTGATCCTTGTTGCAACATGCTAAGGCATTTGGCTCCTGAGCAAGTGCCTTATAAAAAGGATAAAGTGCTTCTACCTATTATAATTAATATTATTTTGCTAAATATGGAGGGCACTTTAGCTGCCCTCCACCCAGGTTGCTACAGCAACACACATCTGTAAGGAGTCATTCTTCTAATTGTGTCAACTAGGCTTATATAAGAGTATTTCAGTGATCCAAATGCTGTGGAAAGCATGGCTTGAGGTCTGGCTGAAGATGAACCTCATGCTCCAAACGCTAATGAAATTATTTTAAACTTCCTTCTGGTGTAATTGCGTTAGTCATGGTGAGCAGGAAGCAGTGCAGTGGCTTGCTGAGCTGGCCAGGTTTGCTTGCTTCTCTGATGGAAAGGAGCACAACAGGCAGCTTCTGAAATGCATCTCTGGAACAGAGGAAACAAAAAGTGAGCTTGCGTTTTGTTTGCAATACATTATTTTATGATCAAGCAAAGGAAATTAGAATGCAAACCCAGCACGTAATGATGCCAGATGAACGATTAATACTTTACACCTAAATGGTGCCAGATTAATGACTAATACTCTACAGCTATACATTGCTTTTCAAATAAAGCCAATCTGTGAAATACATGTAGACGTACAAGTCAGCAACAGTGAAAGTGCAGCAAATGTCTGATTGATACCTTTGACTGGAGCAATCTGAAAGCTGCAGGGCCAAATGGAAACTTTCCAGACAACAGCAGTGCCTTTCTCATGCAAGAAAACTATGCTTCTTTCCACACAATAAAATTAAATGAAGAAGTTTGTACTAACTAGCTGCTTATTTTATTAGCTGTATCCTCAAGGGGTGTTTTTGCAACCCAGATCATTATGTGTGAATAACAAACACTTTCTGAAAACTTGGTCTACTTGAGATGGTTGTCATTAAAATATTAGCAGAAGACACTCACTTGCTGTTACATGACATTACACCACCACGCTTGCCATGTTTTGCTGATGCTGTGACTCATCATAGGAGTTTGCTAGAGACCAGCTATTGAAATGCCATCCAATTGCAATAATTGCTGTCTGAAACCTCCTGAAACAAAGAAAATGGTATCTTTAAAGTGAGACAACTATGTCTAATTACAGCCTATGATGGTCATATAATAATATAACTAACTGTCCAAACATAACAGTGTGATTGTTCAAATATGTAACTCCATTCATCCAAAAGAAATTTAGAAGTTTCAAAAATCAACATGCTAACTCTTCCCAGATTCTCATCCGGTGTTGCAATGGAATTACAGATCAGGCTGGAATATTACTTATTGCATAGAATATGCAGTGATGGTCTTTTTCACACAATGCTTTCAGATTATAGGAAAGTGTGAAAACGGTACTTTGAATAAAAGCTTCTCCTTGCTTTATTTTTAATGCAGCTGCTGGTGGGCCATAAAGTAACTCACAGTCATATACGAGTCACTCATAGTTGTGTATGCATATGAAATGATGGATCTTGAAATGTTTTTATGTTAAAAGATGATAATGGCCTATATAGGATAAAAGGACCCCCTATTTTCACAGATGCCAAATCCCAACACCAGCCACATTTAACAACTTGCTAACTCTAGGCTAAAATAAGAATCACCATACTCGGAGTAACTTATTTTATGTTTGCATCAGGCTGCCGAGTGCTGGAGTCTTTGGTTAGGAATTAGACCGTGGAGCTGAATGCTCAGTATGTGAAATTGCAACACCGAAATGCACTGGCTTCCCTTTGTCAAAGAAGGGGTGGGGAGGAGGCAACGTGGGGGAAGGAGGCAACCAGAGATGTTCCCCAGCTGAGCAGTTCCAGTGCAAGCGTTGACCTACATTGACCTGCCTCCCAGAACTGAAGCTTTGCCATACTGATGCAGAAAGGATTACTTCCCCATGGTTTTCAGTCGTCAATCTTCCAACCTAAAGCTCCTTTTTCCTTAAGGTTCTCAATAATTCTTCTGTTTCAGCAACCAGAGAATCGCCATAAATCACCTTTCTACATCAGCACTTTTTCCCCTTCCGTGCTCTCTAAGGGCGTTTTGTCATTGATCTCGTCTGCCCTGCAACTCTTTTCACTATTTTAGCTGCATTTAATTAGCATGACCATTTATAATGCTCAGAACTGAACTCTGGACTCTTTGTGGATTTGAGAACAGTTGGGCTTTAAAAGGTGTTTTAGAAATGCTTTGAGATCCCACATCACCAGAAAAACGTGGGGAAGTGAAAAGCAGGGCAGTAGCTAGGCATCTCATTTTCCCAGCAACTGCTGTACTTAGCTAGTTATTATGGTTGGCTGATAAGGGGCAGTTTTGGGGGAGAATGTTTCTATCTACCACGGCCGATTTCAGTATTACAAATCCCATGTACATTTGTGCCCTGAAGTCCTCTGCAGAAGATCATCCGAGTTCCTGCCCAAGTGTGTCCCCCCTCCTAGGACCCCTGGATCTGGCAAATCGCTTTGGCCAAGCAGAGTTGGGAGAGATTCTCTTTGAGGAGTAGCGATGCCATCTGTAAACCAGCAAGGATGCTAACTGCTGAACAATGTGAAGTTTCCCTACCTGTGATGGCTCTGCTTTGCAGCTTCCTCACACGCTCAGGGCCAGGGGATGGAAAGAAAAAAACCCCAAACCCTTGAAAATAAATTTGGCATTATTCCCTGGCTACATGGATATTTTACTATCTGTCCACTTCCCTGAAGCACTTCATAAGTTACTTCAGTTACTTTGGCATCCACAACCAAAGTGTCAGCTTCCTTGTTTCCTCTGCAGGCTTCTTCAGTACTTTCAGTTTCTACTACATTGTACATACTCTGCCCAAGGACACTCAAATGCTTTCTGTCAATCCAGTGAGGACTGGTACTATCACTTACATTTTTCACAGTCACAGAATGACAGAATCAGTGGATTCTGTTCAGAGGCTGGAAGGTGCCTCTGGACATCATCTAGTCCGCCCTGCCCTGCTCAACGCAGAGCCAACTAGAGCCATTCTCTACCCCATGCTTGGGCTTCCTTTTGTCATATAAGGGGAAAACATGCAAACACGAATGCTCATGTGGACGGTTGAAAGAGCCATCACATCTCCAATGTGAGATGGAGCAGACCAATGTGACAGGGTGGAAGCGCTCTGTGTGACCTCTGAGGAAGCAGGCTGAGTTTCAGAAGGGGACATGGTTGCCTAAAGTAAAGACTAGGCAGAAAGCAGTTTGACTGGACACTCAGGCCCTGCTTGCTGATCTGAGGAGCTGTAAGTGCCCAAGATTTTGTCAGGAAAAATTCTTAGGCATCCAAGATCCTGTTTCTGCACGTGGCTGTAGATGCCATTATCTTGGTAAAGCCAGCTGTCATAGCATCTCTTGCACATCAGCATCCCTTACTCGCCTCAGGGACCAACCCCAGAAAACCTTCTATCCTCTCAACAATCATTTTAAAATGAGCATAAATAGAACAAATGCTGCACTGTCTCAGGAGCCTACGGGGGTGACTCTACACTGTATTCTGCAGTTCTGTCCCTACAATTGTTCCCTATGGTCTGCACTGTATAAAATCATCAAATCATTTAAGGATATTTCAGTGGGGTTGGCAACCTTGCACCCTTGCACAATGGGTTTCAAAAAGAAACTTTTTTCAAAAAGAAGCTTGCAGGGTTTGGGGCACTCTCCTGCTAAGCAGCTGACTGCACAGCCTGCTCTCAGTGGGACTGCCTGGCACCTGCCATGAGGGGCTGGGATGGAGGAAGGAGAGAGAGGAGGCTAGTTTCATACCATGAGCAGGGAAGGAGGCTGGCACTGGGAGGCAGAGAGCAAAAGTCAAGGTGGAATGAATCCACGTCTGTATCCTTGCAGCTCTATAACTTTTGGACATGTTGCTGCCAGCCGTTGGTTACAGGTGAGCTTCCCAAAGCATTGTCTCATCCCCAGAGACTGGCACACTGCCTGGCCTGCAACACCCCAGGAGTGCCCATTCTGCATGGTAAGTTTTCTCTGAGCCCTTTTACAAGCTGTTACAAGGGCCTTCGAGGCAGCAAGGGTGCCTGGGATGCTGTAGCACTGCCAGCAAATCTGTAATGTTTTGCTCAGCTGCCTGGCAGCACACTCAACCCTGCAAGAGTTTGGAGCCTGGTTAAAGTTCCTGGACAGGTCAGGGGTCAGGCTGAATTGACCATAATGAAGAGGGATCCCCTCAGGCCACCAGTTTTTTAAACAGCAGAAGACAGCAGAAGTTCCTGGCTTGTGTCTGGTGGAATGTATCCAACTGCCAAAAGATGCTGTCGTCATGGACTCTGCCAGGGTAACCAGTTTATGAATTATCCTCATTGACTGACAAGGCTCGGGCAGATCAGGGTGCGGTACCCTTCCTAGTTCTTGCAGATATAGGCCCCATGTGGCAGGCAGCAAAAGGAATGTCGGTCCTAGTTCTGTCTCTTGTTTTGGTGAAATGGCATTGGGCAAACTCCCTTACAGCTCAAGGTCTAGGACAGGGCACTTATGATGCCAAATTCTACCCTTTACCTCACTCTAACGCACAAAAGCAGCAAGCACCAGCATGCCCGCACAGGGAGCGCAAGGCAGAGGATGACTGGCAGAACAGGGAGCGGTCTATACCCGGCCACACCGAGTGCTGCTGGTCTCATCCCCTCCGTCTCAGGTAGCAAAGGTGGAAACAGGCCTGTGGATGTTTCCACGGTGGGACAGGTCTCATACCACCCTGTGTCCCTGCTAACATGCAGTAATGATGTGTCCTGTGCACCCAAAAGGCCTTGAGATGTGAGCACTAAAGATGCAAGTCAGTTAGAATGACTTGGCCCAGGGACTATGAAGTGTCAGCCACTCTCAGGTGTGACCATCGCAGACTGTACATGTGTTGCCACAGGAACTCAGTGACAGGACTTCAGAAGGGAAGCTGCCAGCTTTAGTTACTCAACAGTGCTCCCTCTTGCAAGTTCCTAAAAAAAAAACCACCACAGGAAAATGTAGAGATCTCAGTAGAACATGACAAGGTTCTGGAACAAGTTGCTCTCCCCTACTGTTGCCTCTTTGCTGAAATGCCTGAGGGCTCTCTCACCTTGCTGTATCTGCTGTCATCTCTTTCCAGACTTGTCAGGGACAAGTCCTAGTGATGCAGTTTCCCATTATTCACCTTCCCTCCTTCTGAGTGCGAGTCTGGTTTGCGGGGGTCCAAGCAAAAAAATGTAAACAAGAGCAGTGTTCACAACAAATACACCTGCCTCCAACACAGCAGACACAACATTTAGTTCTATTTTGGCTCTGGTAAAAAAACATTCACTTGGGGGATTCCATTGAAATCCTTGTTATATTTGCAGTTGACTTCACCTGCATGCCAAAAATTAGTTTGGACACCCCCAGCTTCCTCTCTCTCCCATCTCCCTTGATGAGAGACCTTGACCTGTCTGTCAAGAACTTGTGGCTTTTCAGTTTGCATGTTTCTTGCTAACACTGTTTATCCAGGGAGCACAGATGGGGCATATCATTTGGCAAGCTTACCCCTAAGCTTTTTACAACAAAGATGATAACAGGTGCAAGATAAGGGATACGTACAAAACCAAGAGTTCATTACAAATACATTTGCATCCAAAGCAGCAGCAGAAGGACTTGGCTCTACTTTATCTTAAAAGCATACACTTTGTGAATTCCTTTCAAATACTCACTGTATTTGCATCTGATACTGTATGCATGTCACCCCAGGCAACAACATGGAACCAAACTGTGTTTGCACGGGCCTGTGCTTCTGTGCAAGGGCAGCCAGATAAGTCATCTCTTCTCATGACGGTATGGAGGTTTTAGGATCGCTCTTGAAAAACTAGAGACAAAATTCTGAAGAGAGTGCACTGTCCCCACAGAAAGCAGGATTTTCAAAGGAACTCGTTAGGTTAATAGTGAAGGCTTTTTAATTCTGTAGGTCTTATTTTGATGTCAAAGTGGAAGCTGGGCAGTTAGGATGTGCTAAGCCCTTGAAAATTTGGCCCCAAGTTCTGCTTCTGCCTGTTTGTGTGTTCAGAGAATGTGGCACAGCTGTGGGGAGTTTCCTGGTCAGAGAGGGTCAGTAACCTACAACCAGTAGAGAGACTGGTTAGTTAGCATGATCTGAATGCTGAAGCTATGTCCTTATTCTGAACTACTCTCTGTAGAAGTCCTATTTTACTCCATTGGCTAAAAAGAGATAAGAGGTTGTCCTAACAAAAGATGATAGGTATCAAAAGGTATCATGCGACAAAAGTTGCATGACCTGAATACTCACTGTTTCACTCACGAGTCTGCAGTCTGAATCAGGAGTAACTGAAAGTTGGTAATATCTGGCCTTTACTTGACAGTGTATGTAAAGCGCGTTGACAGATCCATCCGTTTCACGGAGTGAAACTGAATCTCAGGTAAAATCACAGGAGGCTTGAGAATATCAGATGTGCAGCAATTCCTACTGAGTGCAGTGGAGTATGCCCATGGTTGGCAAAGGTGTTGGTGGATAAGGAAAAAGCTGTTTCCTTTCACTCTGAAGGACAGTCACTCCAGCTCAGTCCTGCAGCACACAGCCAAGGAAGCATGCAGTGGTCCTCATCCTCCATAAATCACTGAGACCTTTGTTTCCCACTGCTGTTAGCATAGCACCTTTTACAACCTTTATTTGTGCTTGAAACTGGGGAGTGAAAGAGCACAATGGTAACAAGAAATAAATTAAAGTTTACCAGCACATAGACAAAACTACAAAAAAAACCCCAAACAAATGCAGCAGCAACAAAGATGAAACCCCTTCACTCCAACATCCTTTTGGAACTTTCCATCTACTTTGTAATTAAAGACTTAGATGTTTAAACCACAGAAAAAGGGTAAACCGTGTTTTAAAGTGGCCCAGTGCTTGTTGCCACATGCATTAATGTATTATTCTGTGGCCAGGAGTGGAACGACTGCAGTTAGACATGTTTTCTTAGTGTACTCCTTTAAACAAAGATTTTTGATTGAATATTTTTAGTAGTCCAGGTAAAAATAACTGCATACGCCTGTTTGCTGTGGCATGGAACTGGACAGGAAACACTATTGTTACTACACAGAGATTTTTCCTTAACTCTGATACTGGAATGAATCCAGAATTATTCAGAAGAGGAAAATGAGAGAGAGGGAGAATATATCCTTGCCCATGTGAACATAGAGAACAGACCTGTCAGATCACTGCTCTCGTCGCTGCAGACGAGGGATCCCGCTGCCAGTCTCCCATATCGCAGTAAACACCTCAGCCTCCGGCCATTGGATATTCTGAGGCAGGTCTCTCTCTCTTCCCCCATTCTCCTCTGTATGAAGACTTTTTTGGTACAAGCACTTGAATATATGTAGACCTTCTACACTTCAGCCCCTGTTTGGCTATCACGGGACAGCTGAGGGTCTCTTTTTCTCATTTATAGGTTGACAAATAATATCTGGATGTTCCTTTAACAAGGATTGGCTATAACTGATCGGTATTTCCTGATACAAAACTTGTTTTTTTTCCAGAAATTCCAGGTTAGAGCAATAACTGAATTATCTCTACCTAAACCAGCCACTGTTGTCACTAGCATTGCTGCCCAAGGATTTCAGAGTTTTATCTATGGAGTCAGCGGGACAAAATACTTCACTATGAAGTATGCATCAGAGACAAGCAATCATCTTTCAGCTTCTGAGAGCAATATTGAAAAAGGTGATGAAATGTGCTCTTTAACACAATGAGATCATTAAAAAAAGTTTGTAGACGCCCCTTACTAAGCTTAAATTTTCATATACAGTGTTAAAAACTCACTAAAACATTAAGTGAAATCATTACTCCCACTGTGCTGGCAACACAAAAGGCTAACTTACTAGAACCAATACAGACTTGAAGAAGCTTTTCAATAACTATACATGACATGTGAAATATTTGTTTAATGAAAAAAAATTGTAATTTAATGAGAACAGTAAATGTACAGAACAATAAGAAACAAATGTCAGCACACCAAGAAAGAGGTCAGGATTATTGTTTTTTATACGACATCTGGTTTATTCTTTTCTTACTAAGAGTTTAAATCAGTTTAGCACCATTTTGGTTCATTCAGAGATTAACAAAAGTTAATATTTTATAAGATTTATTTATAATACCCTTGAGGTTTAGAGTATGTTTATGTAACCCTTCTGCCAGGAATTGGCAGCAGCTGAAAGAGCTGGATTCATTTATCTAGGGGTTCTCTCTGAAAACTTAAACAACAGCAGTTTCAGCCTCCACCCAAAGCTAAATGACCTCCTTTGGGTGCCCTGACAAACAATAAATCCTGCTCAAGGCACAGCAAGGGTTTAAAACAAGGTCCAGAGTTTCAAGACAAAGAGAACTTTAGAGACGAGGGAAAGGGAAGAAGAAAGGCTCAGGGTAAACCCGCAATAGCCACTAATCAATAAAATAAATAATGCTTAAGTGAGGTCCCTAGCCTCCTTCTCCTCCTCGTCTCTGTGACACAAAATAAAGGCTTGCTGTCATTTCCAAACAGATGCCTTGTCACTTGAATGTCGCTGCCCACTCAAAACTCTCCCCGTATTTATTGCGTGTCTTCACTTTACAGCTAAGCTAATGAACATATGTATTACGGTCCACAAACCAGGAGATCCTACCGTCTCTCCAGCCCACAGCCCCTTGCTTGTGCTAACGCCCCGTGCTGGCGCTGATGCTCAGCTGACCACGCAGTGAACTGATTCAAGGCACCAAACTGGCAGAAAATGAACTCAGGAAAACCAAAAGCGAGCAGTGGATGGGTTTCTGCTGGTTTAACTCCCTGAATCAACTCACTGTACTATAAAATGAAGGTCAAAGCTGGCACCAGGGAAGAGGATGCCAAGGATGGGGATGGAAAGAAAAGCCAGACTGCTGCTGCTCTTTAGCACAGTGGCACTTCTGTATGAATTTGCTGGCTTATCCCCATATAGGCCAAACTTTGAGGGAGCATGGCTACTCTGTCCATGACTGCAGGACTAACAGGACCACTCTGTCTCTAAATAAACTCCAGCCAGCCTGTTTGGTACGGAGTCCCTCTCTCAGCCCAGAGGAGGAAATGGGGCCTCTGTTGCAAAACTGAGCCCTGGGGTCAGCTTTGCTGCCCACGCAGAACTGCCTTGCTCCGCTCCCTTCACACAGCAAACCTGTCCAGAGGCTTTTTCCCAGTCCTACAGCCGCTCCTGTAAGCCTCCCATGCCACACTGCCCACAGCTAGGAGGTTTTTACAATTCAGCTTCCTCATTTTTGGTTTAAAAACCCAAGTGCCTGGTTTCCCAGGGAGAGGAGGAATTCATCTCAAACCGCCGCCAGCACTGCCCGCCTTGGGAGCCGGGGGAAACTGAGGCAAAGACGGCACAACGGACGCCATTTGCCGGACAACAAAAGGCCGTATGGTTCCCACAAACCCCCGGGCCGAAACAGCGCGTTCTCGGGGGCCACCTACCGGCCCTTTCTCCGTTAAACGTTTACATCGGACAGGCCCCGCGGGCCTGGGGTGACTGACGGGAGGGGCGGG